AATATTCGATAAACTAAGACTAATGAAATTATCTATTTGTGAATGTGTTAATGCATTATCAAGATGTGAAAATGAAATTTGATTATTATTATAAAGTTGAAAGAGCTGATCATTATCTGTTTCTTGTTCAAAAAAATAAGTAGGTTGTGTTTCTTGTGCGTCAGTATAATGCATTATTGGTGAGAGTATTGGTGACGCATCATATCTTTGAGAAGGTATAATAGGTTCTATAGATTCTATTTGCTGAGACTGCGTTTCACTGGTTACGGAATCATCATCACTCTCACGAAAAACTGAACAGGGACCACTAGTCGAAACATCCATTCCATTTCGTGTTTCTTGCTTAAGTTGTATTTTATCATAAAATCGTTGTTGCATCTTCTCATGTTCATTCGTAGTTTGTTTCGCAATACGATCCCCGTTTAATTTACTTTTATTCTTTAATTCTTGCTTAGAATTATCTGACATTGCTAATCTTACATGAATTCTTTCAACCTCTCGTGCAATTTCTTCATATTTTCTCTTAACTCTCCTTTCTTCTTTTTTCCAAGCTTTCGAGGCCATTTTCGAAACTTCTCTCATTGAAAGTCTATATCCTTGAGAATGAAGTTGTTTTGCATACTCGTTACGATAAATTAAAAATTTATTAGTAGAACGAGCAAGTAATTCCCCGTGTTTATTACGTCTTATAAGATCCAATGGATCAACCTTTGGAGGAAATGGGACAATAACCAAAAGATTTGAGAGGTCACAAGGTCTTTTAGGTTTAGGTGATGCTATTGTGGAAGATTCATCGATGAATAACCATTCCTGTTGAGATACTTGGTTAGATAGGCGACCATTTTGAGAGAGATCAAATGAACTTCCGTTGAATTGATTTTGTTGTGACATTATGATAAGTAATGATAAGTAACTGAGGATCTCAAAAGAAAAAAAGAAAAAGGTTTGATTGATTATATGTTATTTGATTTATGTCAATCGAGAATGAAAAAAAGTTTTTTATGATTGACGTGCTCAATAAGTGTGTAATCTATTTCTTTTTTTTTTCTTTTTTTTGTTTTTTTTTCTGGACTAACAAGGTGAAGAGACGCCTATTTATCAGTTACGCAAATTTATGATGATGGATTTTCTCACGCGTTAGCCCTGGAAAATCGAAACTATGATTTAGACTAAAAAAAAAAATTTATAACATGAGTTCTTGTGTTATTGGCTTTTAACATTCCATCGGGTATGAGATGAACTTTAGAATACGACGAAAATAGAAAAACTAATATATGATCAAACGAACCTGGAAAATAATTAAACCGCATGTCTCATGAAAAATAACGTCAGAAGATCTGTTATTAAACCCTTTTTACTAATTGAACCTGTGTAGTGCGTGACTACGTATATGTAAATTATGCGTGGTCCGTGCGCCTAACATTCCAGGTAACTCGGAAGTCTCAGCCTTCAATTAAACATCTGATAATCCTCATGACTACTTTATTATTATTAATCAAGAAACCAAAAAGATTAGCGATTTACATTAATAAATTTTGAGTATTGAGTTAAAATGAATTTGCTTCACTAGTACAGTAGAATGTCATGAATGACTTGTGAGATAGGATAAACATAGATTTACATATTTGTTTATTAAAGCAATTTCTCACGATAATCTATAATTGTTATTTGATTGGTTATTTTCTCTTTTTTTAAACAATATTTTACAAGATTAAATTGATGTTATACTAGCGCTAGTTACTTTGTTTGCAAATTACAGCATTCATTTTTTGATAATTATGAAGCGTCTCTAATTACAAATCCATAAATGCATTTTACATGCTAACTTTAAAATTCGTTTAAGTAAATGCGTGATAAAATTTTTGAAAACATGCGGTAAAAGCTTCTAATCTCTATGTGGTTGAAAGCCCGCTTTCATTCTAAAAAAGGTATGTTAATAAATATCTATGATCTCCAAGTATAGCAGATCCGAGAATTTAATACTCTAGAAAATCTTTGTGAGTTTGACATTATTTGATTTGTCATCGAAAGAAAAAAAGCCGTAAATTGTTGAACTGAAACAATTGGTTTTATTGTGCATAATATTTGACTGATTTGGTTATTATCTTAGGTATAATGAACGAACTTTGCAATTTTCGAAACAACTTCGGAATGATTTTCGAATCTCGTGCATATTTCGTTATTGTCCATTTTAAGCATTAGTGTACAAATTATTATGACAATCAAGTGTTTAAAACGAATTCTTCAAGGATTTTCATTAATCATTGTCAATCATTCCGAACAGTTATTCTTGGGTTAGTCTTTAGGATAAAAGATTTTACGCACATTCTTTAATACTGGTTGGTTGACTAGAATCTGTAATACTTTTATGGTATTTTAACAAAAAATATAATAATAAAATACATACGTATCTGTTAACACGTCATGTAAAGTGTCGGGAATACATCCATACTTTGCTGCAAGTGTTCCACGTGATTACGGATCGAATAAATTTATCTTTATTTTATATATTCTAGTTAACAAATTTCTGCATAAGCAAATTTTACATATATGAAAACTTTATTAATAATATAGTTTCCGAGAAATAATATTAATGTTAATAATTTTATGTTACACATATATATGAAAATATCTAAAAATTGTTAATAACTTTCATTCATCCATTATTAAAATTTATTATGTATTTAAAATACCAATAAGTTTCTGGTAAGCTTAAATATTACTTTCTTTTATTAATATTAATAGAAATTTTATTGGTGTACAAGTACTTTTAACTATGTATAATAGATCGGCGCTTAAATTAATTGCTATATTAAAGGGTTTACTTGTTTATTTATTCGTCCTTACAATGATTTGAAATCACTTTCCTTTGCCAATTTTGGGTCTTTTAAACCTTTACAATATTTAAGCCAAAATTTTTGATAACTTATTGGTTTTTGTTATTAAGCATGTTATGAGTAACCACTCGGTTGTTTGTATTTTTTTGTCTTACACACACTTTAAGTAAAAAAAAAAAAACATTCCGTTAATAAACTTTGTCATGCTTAAATTCGGAGAAAACTTTAAAATGGCCCAATACTTGTCTACCACGTGTATTTCCAGAAATTACATTATAAAATAATCAATCCACGTGCAGATTTCTTAGATTCGATTGGCACTTGTATTTTCACCACTAAAAACTTGCAAATAGACGCACAAATAAATAGTATAAGACTTTAAGTTTTTGATAATCTACAACAATCCCACCAGTTAACTGTCGTCAAAAAAATAAAAGAGAATCGAAATCTCTTTTGCATTAGTCAAAATTACAAATATGTTCTTGCTAATGAATATATATTTTAACTGTTTTCGTACTTCATACTGTATGTCAGATTTTCAAAAACAAAGAGCAAAAGATTTTCGTGTCTTTCCGTTAATTTAATTTTAAAAAAAATACTTAATTTTATGGAAAATTTTTTTGTAGCATGAATAAAACCTAACAGTTTTATTAGTGATTGCGGTAAAGCATCAGAAATGTTTGGTCTACGAACTGTTATGACCTATCGCTATCGGATAATTGTAAATTATGACTCATTATGCATTATGACCTTAGTCATATATAGTTGGATATGCCAACACCGGGTATCAGCCGGATTATCCTCGCGTAATCGGATATTTGGTTGTATTATGGCCGAACAGTGACGATGAATAATTCCATAAATTTTTGGGGAAAATGAAAAATCGCCAAATAGAGAGATTGGAATCGATAAGCTTTGAACATCGTTTGGTCACAGGTTTTCGAGCATCAATGAAAAATTTTGACCGAGTTATAGCTAATTTCAAAATGTAAGGACCATCTTAAAAAAATTTTTCCGAAGTGTTGTTGGGATTCATATAGTGGATGATCACGGGTTTTAGATTATAATATATATTTCTAGCTCTTATAATATTGTTTAAAATCTAAAAAATATAGATATTGAATAAATTTTTAAAAGTTTTTATTAAATGATATTTTAATTTAAAAAGAATTTCTACGTATTTGTACCAGTGAATACATACTCACTTATACAATTTTTTAAAAAGTTTACTTTTTTTTAAAAAAAATTAAATATTACTGGTAGTAAATATGTTATTAGATTGTAATTAACTGATCAAACTATGACAAAATTAAAAACAAATACTATCTTTTTAACTATTTTCCAAACAAATTTTCTTGTAAATTCATAACTGATCTGTAATTAAATTATATTAAATTATATTAAATTATAGTAAATACATAGTCAAATTAACAGTTTAAGAAATAATTAATTATTGTTAAAATTAGAGTTAAAGTTAAGTAAAATATAATATATTGCAAAATATTATTTATAAACAAAATTTAAACTATTATAAAATTTTAAATTTATTGCATATGCAATATATTGTATTCTTTTTGTTATTTAAAAATTTTGTATATAAAACTGTTTTTGAAGTTCTAATAAAAAAGTTTTTGTAAAATTTTAATATATCTTATGTTTTTAACTTATCTCAAACCTTAACCTTAACTCTAATATTAATAAAATTTTATTTTTTGATTTAATAAAAATTTTTTTATTATATAAAATTAATAATATTTATATAGTAAAATAGAAATATAAAAGGGTTTAGGTTCTATAGCTTAGTGAATAAGTTCTCAAACTCTTTACAGACAAGGCCAATGATTTAAGTTAGACTGGAGACAATTTTGTCATTATAACTTATTAGAGTCATTAATTAGATATGAAGTTTTGTGAAAAAGTTCAAATACAAGTACAAATTTAAATAAAAAAATTTTTTAGAAGGAGACCTAATTATAGAGTGCAGACATTATGTATAACAAATAATTATTACAAAAATTTATAATTATAAAAAGATTGTGTATATAAGTCCTTCAGGTTAGAGTAGCATCAATATTCTTATATTTTCTAATATAAACAGTACTAACATCTTTGTACCCAACTTATAAAATATTTGTTTGAAAAGATAATCAACAGATTGTATAAATAAGTTCTAATAGGAATCTAAGAAAAAGATTTAATTGAAAAAGTAACCTAAAAATAACCAAGAATAAAATAGTAAAAGAAATGATAAATATAAGAATAGACTATAATAAAAAATTAGTCTAATCAAAAATTAGAACTACTTCTGTTATAACTAAATAATCTAATTATAAAAGAGAAAATTTTGATATTAAATCAGATTCTGGTTATACTTATATAGAAGTCTATAACAAACAAGATTGAGATTAATCAATCAATATAAGATAAGATTTGCAAGGTAGTATAGTATTACTAAGATTAGTATAACTCTTGAACATAATCAGAATTATTTTGCAAATATTATTAAATAAGCTAAAAGTTTGCAATATATAATAATATGTTTGTAACTAAAACATGTTTTAGTCTTTATCATAAAAGAAAGTATCTTATTGAGAGTTAATGCAATATTAAGTTACTATATAATGTTAAGATCTAGAGTATCTGCAAGAACAGTAGCAGCAAATCTGGCTTAAGATATAATTGGTCAAAAGATCAATAATGATAACAGGTTTGGCTTGAGATATGAGTTCATTGTAAATTCTAGACTATTGTCAGAACATCTTAGATGAATCAATAACAGATACATCAAAGATGAAGGATTAAAAGAAACAAATATATTTGAATAAAACTAATTTAGGAGCAGTATAATAATAAAAAAGTAAGAAATATAAAGAACAAGATATTACTAAATATAGTTAGATTAGAAGACAAAAAAAACAAGACCAAGTAAAACATGTAAATAGGACATATAGATACAATTATGAAAACAGTATCTTTAGCATTTAGGATATTGCATTAAATTCAGTAGATATTTTTGTCTATGTAGTAATTTAGTAATATGCACTAACTATAAGT